AGCATGATATTCCCCCAAATCAGTCGGGCTTAATTTTCAGGCCCGATGGATTTTCGCTGCCGCCGATTCCCCGAAAGTGAAATCCGAGCACAGGAATGCATGAGAACCCAAAGATCCTTCGGGCTTGATTTCCAGGCCCGATGGGTTTTCGCTGCTGCCGACCCTCCGAGAGCGAATTCTGAGTACAGGAAAGCATGAGATTCCCCGAAATCCGTCGGGCTTAATTTTCAGGCCCGATGGATCTGCCGCCGATTCCCCGAAAGTGAAATCCGAGCACAGGAATGCATGAGAACCCAAAGATCCTTCGGGTTTGATTGCGAAGGCCTGACGGCCGGTGCCGCCGACCCTGTTCGCAATGCGCAGCAAGAGGCACGGGCTGTGGGATGGTTTTGGGGAACGGGGAGAAGGACGAGAAGGTGGGGGAGGGAGGTGTCGTATCTGACCCGGGACTTCCCCGGGACTCCCCCGGGACCCCCCCCGGGACCCCCTCTCCCTCCCCCGGCGGGGAAGGGAAAGGGAAGGGGCTTCCCTTCGACTCAATTACGACGTTGCTCAAGGTCGGTACGGGGGGGGGCGTCGTATCTGACCTGGGGGGGGGTCGCTACCGCCCCCCGCTACCCCCCCCTCGCCTCCCGGCGGGGGAGGGATCAAAGGGAAGGGGCTTCCCTTCGACTCAATTACGAGGTTGCTCAAGGTCGGCTTGGCTGGAGCCCCAGGGGGGGGCGTCGTATCTGACCCGGGGGGGGTCGCTACCCCCCCCCCCGGCGGGGGAGGGATCAAAGGGAAGGGGCTTCCCTTCGACTCAATTACGAGGTTGCTCAAGGTCGGCTTGGCTGGAGCCCAGGGGAAGAGGAGTCCCAGGGGGGGCGTCGTATCTGACCCGGGGGGGGGGTCGACACCCCCCCCCCCCCTCCCGGCGGGGGAGGGATCAAAGGGAAGGGGCTTCCCTTCGACTCAATTACGAGGTTGCTCAAGGTCGGCTTGGCTGGAGCCCAGGGGAAGAGGAGTCCCAGGGGGGGGCGTCGTATCTGACCCGGGGGGGGGGTCGCACCCCCCCCCCCCTCCCGGCGGGGGAGGGATCAAAGGGAAGGGGCTTCCCTTCGACTCAATTACGAGGTTGCTCAAGGTCGGCTTGGCTGGAGCCCAGGGCAAGAGGAGTCCCAGGGGGGGGCGTCGTATCTGACCCGGGGGGGGGTCGTACCCCCCCCCTCTACCCCCCCCCCCCTCTCGGCGGGGGAGGGATCAAAGGGAAGGGGCTTCCCTTCGACTCAATTACGAGGTTGCTCAAGGTCGGCTTGGCTGGAGCCCAGGGGAAGAGGAGTCCCAGGGAAAGGGAAGGACAGAGACGACGAGTACAAAGAATGACGGAGATGACGGCTCGAACGGAAAAGCCCCCACACACGCCGACAGGGTCGGCGGATTTCCAGGCCCAGTGGGTTTTCGCTGCTGCCGACCCTCCGAGAGCGAATTCTGAGTACAGGAAAGCATGAGATTCCCCGAATTCCGTCGGGCTTAATTTTCAGGCCCGATGGATCTGCCGCCGATTCCCCGAAAGTGAAATCCGAGCACAGGAATGCATGAGAACCCAAAGATCCTTCGGGCTTGATTTCCAGGCCCGATGGGTTTTCGCTGCTTCCCACCCTCCGAGAGCGAATTCTGAGTACAGGAAAGCATGATATTCTCCCAAATCCGTCGGGCTTAATTTTCAGGCCCGATGGATTTTCGCTGCCGCCGATTCCCCGAAAGTGAAATCCGAGCACAGGAATGCATGAGAACCCAAAGATCCTTCGGGCTTGATTTCCAGGCCCGATGGGTTTTCGCTGCTGCCGACCCTCCGAGAGCGAATTCTGAGTACAGGAAAGCATGAGATTCCCCCAAATCCTTCGTCGTCCCACGCAGCCACCGTCGTCTCACCGTCGTCTCACCCCAGCCAAGATCGTCACCCCCCTCCCCCAGCCACCGTCGTCTCACCGTCGTCTCACCCCGCCATTGTGACGTCACGAAGCGTGTTACCCACCAAAAGACCCGGCCAAAAAAACTCGCAGGCAGAAAAAGCACAACCCCCCAGAGACGTCCGACCCTGTGGCTTATGGCCAAGGCCTACGGTCAAGCATCGCGGGGCGCGCAGGGAAACGGGGGGGCTCTCTGTCTCTCTCTCTCTCTCTCTGTCTCTCTTTGGTCTCTCTTCAAGGAAGCAGCAACAAATGCTGTTCATCCCGGCCTTGTACTTACCTTTACCTTCTTTATTTTTACGTTACTACTACACTACTACTACGACACTACACTACTACTACTACTACTACTACTACTGCTACAACTACTACTACTACTACTACTACAACTGCTACTACTATTACTGCGGCTACTACTACTACTACTACTACTACTACTACTTGAATACTACTACTACTACTACTACTACTACTACTACTACTACTACTACTACTACGACTACTGCTACTACTACTACTCCTACTACTACTACTAGTACAACTACGACTACTACTGCTACTACTACTAGTACGACTTACAAGTCTTATTCGTACTACGATTAATTCTACACAACATACACTAGCGACGGCACCAGTAACTACGACTACTACTGCTACTACTACTCTACTATTATTACTACTACTTACTACTACTACTACTACTACTACCTACTACTACTACTACTACTACTACTACTAACTACTACTACTACTACAACTACTATTGGCGACTATTATTACTACTAATAACAACAGTAATATCCGTAAAAGGCTTCGCCCCCTGCCGCCGGCCCCCTCTCTCGGAGAATGGGCCATGGAAGAGCTAAGTCAAGAGGCCTTGGCGCTGTCGTGAAGCAGTATCGAAACTTCATGCGAAGCCGATTCGCAATCAGCAAAACCAACTGATCACAAGAGGGGTTACCACACCTGGCGATTGGTAAGACGTGTATGGTTTACGGGCTTGGTTACCACACCTTGCTATTAAAGGGCCGAGGGAGTTCTCGCAGTTTGGGTTACCACGCCTTGCGATGGATGTGCGTGAAGGGTGGCACCGAATTTCAGAAATGTGCCAAATTCCCTGTGTTTTTGGACCCTGACCCCGCGGATCTGCGTAAGGGGTGGCGCCGAATTTCAGAAATGTGGCAAATCCCCTGTGTTTTTGGACCCTGACCCCGCGGATCTGCGTGAGGGGTGGCACCGAATTTCAGAAATGTGGCAAATCCCATGTGTTTTTGAACCCTGACCCCGCGGATCTGCCTGAGGGGTGGCACCGAATTTCAGAAATGTGGCAAATCCCATGTGTTTTTGGACCCTGACCCCGCGGATCTGCGTGAGGGGTGGCACCGAATTTCAGAAATGTGGCAAATCCACTGTGTTTTTGGACCCTGACCCCGCGGATCTGCGTGAGGGGTGGCACCGAATTTCAGAAATGTAGCAAATCCCATATGTTTTTGGACCCTGACCCCGCGGATCTGCGTGAGGGGTGGCACCGAATTTCAGAAATGTGGCAAATCCCCTGTGTTTTTGGACCCTGACCCCGCGGATCTGCGTGAGGGGTGACACCGAATTTCAGAAATGTGGCAAATCCCTTGTGTTTTTGGACCCTGACCCCGCGGATCTGCATGAGGGGTGGCACCGAATTTCAGAAATGTGGCAAATCCCATGTGTTTTTGGACCCTGACCCCGCGGATCTGCGTGAGGGGTTGCACCGAATTTCAGAAATGTTGCAAATCCCATGTGTTTTTGGACCCTGACCCCGCGGATCTGCGTGAGGGGTGGCACCGAATTTCAGAAATGTGGCACATCCCCTGTGTTTTTGGACCCTGACCCCGCGGATCTGCGTGAGGGGTGGCACCGAATTTCAGAAATGTGGCAAATCCCATGTTTTTTTGGACCCTGACCCCGCGGATCTGCGTGAGGGGTGGCACCGAATTTCAGAAATGTGGCAAATCCCATGTGTTTTTGGACCCTGACCCCGCGGATCTGCGTGAGGGGTGGCACCGAATTTCAGAAATGTAGCAAATCCCTATGTTTTTGGACCCTGACCCCGCGGATCTGCGTGAGGGGTGGCGATTTCGAGCCCCCCCAGCAAAACGCGCCCAGGGGATGCTAAAAAGCCGGTTTGGGCCTCCCCCCCCTCGCGCGGTCAATCAACTAGTTACAGTAACCAGCAAGAAGGAGAACAATCAACTAGTTACAGTAACCAGCAAGAAGCAGAACTGTAACACTGGAAACTACAAGCTACAACTGGT